AGCTTATACTGTTTATTGGTACGTGACCTTCCCTGCCATAAATGTTAAAAATTGTAAGAACAAAATAAATACAGCCCCAAATAATACGTGTTTTCACTGCGAAGGTGCTAACTAGCGTTTATGATAAATGTTCGCCACAGCAGTTGTTTAATTTGCGACAAGGTGGAAACACAAACTATAACTGTTATTTTGAAAAATTTTGACTAAAAGCACCTAATTCTGGATTTCTGTCTTGTACCTACGAATCTTCTGCGAGTTACTATATTGCTTGAATCTGAAGCACTTGCCTTTGTGGATTCATTTTTTGAAAAACCAGCCATTGCAGCAGCCGCCGTAGTAACCAAAACCGTAGCCACCACAGCAGTCATAGGACGGGTAGAAGAGCTGAAACTGTCTTTCATTCAAGTTGGAGGATACGACTAAATTATTGCAGGGAATGAACCTTAAACTTACGAAAAAGGATTCAACCGTCGTTATACAGCAGAAAATAACAATCAGTGCTAGCCTAAATGAATTGACGTTAGTATGTTTTTTCTTGACAACCAGCCCTTAATTAGCCTTACTTTGTGCAGTCGAGAAATCAAATCTTTTTGAAAGGCTTCTTTGATGAAACGCAGTCTAAACATCTGTGAACCATCGTCTGCCTTCCAAATAGCACGCATATAAAGTTTAGAGGAGGGTAAAATTGAAAACTTACAATATTAGACGATCCATTGCAGTCGACCGGTACTCTTTATAAGTTAGTTGGATGTCAATGACAATCGCATTTGTCAAGGCAAGTTTATATAGTGGTGGAGACAACGATTAGGTCAAAGAAGCTTGACTTTTTTTCTAGAAAGAAATATTTAAAATGAGGCGAGGCCACGACTTAATGTAAACTCGGCATCTTCTTAAAAATTGAAAACCAGCTTGATTTCTGAGCGGTATTGGAATACCGAAGTGGTGCGGTAGGAGTGGTTTTTGAAACCATTAGGAAGTTCAGTCGTCGTTGTTTAGTTGCTTTCAGTAACCTATTGATAGTGACTGCTTTTACGTGTTTTTTTGTTTGTGAATTGGAGAAAACCTCGGAAGTTTTTCACGTTGCAAGAAACTGACTAGTTTACCGTTATTTACAAATACTCTGTGAAAATTTGGGTGCAGCTACCATTTCATTACCGCAGTAGATTTTTTTTTGACAAACATTAACTGTGAGTAAATCAAAAAAACCTCCAAAATAAGTTAGTTTTAAAGAAGAAACTTGTTTATGGTCTGTTGCATCAATTAGTTCCCCAGATCGTTTGTTTGAAGTATGCTGATAGTCTGTTTTGTTTGGTCACAGATGGTAGTAATGCAATACCAGTTTTTCTGCCAGTCTTTTCTTACTAAAGTAAAGTATTCTAATAAAATATTATAATCTACTTTTTTTAAATTCGTTTTTTTCTCTTGTATGCGAATGTACAACTTA